CTTATAAGCTAATAGACTCTTGTAACAAATGCTAACTACAATTACACGGGATTTTTAGAGGACTGTTTCAGTCTTTATCAGTGACTGTCATTTGGTTTCAATTATGTTAATTGTTAAACTAGCAATTATAATATTATTAATATTATCCAAACAAAGGAAGAAATACATTTTAAACTTCAGAATTGAATCTTTATGTGTGTTAGAATATTTCACATCACATCACATCAACAGCCTTTAATAGTCCTGGACATAGGCCTCTCCTTAGAAAGGAGGTTTTAGCCTACTATACCACGCTGGCTAGACGGGTTAGTATAGGGTTTGTGTCAAGTTTTCCTTCTTTTTGCAGTGCTGGTTTTCTGCGTTGTTTTGTGCCCTTAGTCGGCTCTTACGACACCCATGGGATGAATTGCGGTAGTGACAATCCGTATTCTTAATCCGTCACTACACGGACATTTAAATAATCCAAATATTTATAATAAGTATAATTTTTAGTACTTGAAGATTGTTGACTTACAAAGTTCAGATTTATTTAGGCTGGAAAATTGTTCGTGACAAACATACAAAACTTAATAATGTTACTTAAGTACGAGTGATTCATGATATATACGAATATGATAATTTGTTTTCTTTAATCCCTTATCTGAAATAGTTTTTAACTCACCTATTTAACCTAAAAACTGATGGTTTTCATTTATAGTTGACTTTAGAAGTATCTCTTTTCCTTTTTAGGATTTTCTTCCCAATTAGGTTTCAAGAAGGGATTTACCGAAAAACCACTCTACCTCGTACTATGGACTCTGGGATTAACATTATTGTAATCTCCACGGAACGTAGAAGGCACCCATTTTGAAAATTTACAAAGCAACAAAGAGTAGTTAAGTTGATTTGTAGTCGTTTCAGCTTTAGATAGCCGCTAGAAAAAGAGACATTGCCGAAAACTAGAGTTTGCTGGATTATTAAACTTAAGTTATACAAACCATAACTCATATAAAATTTCTTTTAACATACCGAAATCGTTAGCAAGAGACTTTGAACGTGGACGTAATTATTCCTTTTTGTTATGGTTATATTATGTTATCTATTCTAAGACTTTTTTATCTATACTATAGACATATCGTCGGTACCAGCGGTGAAACTATGTGATGGAGTTGAATCTAAAACGTTTTATATAAAAATAAATGCGTTCTTTTTAGTATTATTTGATGATTAATAGAAAAAATTGATAACTTACTAGTACCCTCTATACAAAATTATTTATAAGCATATCACCACCCGGTGATATGCTTATAAATAATTTTTCCCCCATAGTTAAAAACGCGCATGTAACAACAAGTAAAAATGGAGCAAATGGAACAACAATGACAGCGCGCCGCTACATCTGCCACTCCTACACACTAATTAACAGCTTACATGCAGCCTCAGCATCTTGCGAAGCTAAAATGTTGAGTCAAAATTTGAACAACATCACATGTGACTGGTTACCACAATCATGTTCTGACCAATTGGTAAAAATACAGAGACCTAATATATGGTTATATAACTGCATCAATGAATGTGCGATTCGTATTGTATGCAATAATCAAATTACAACTCCATTGATTACAATGACGGGGCTCCTTGCCCTAGGTCAGGATTGTGTAATACAATACAAAGACGCTACGATATACTCTCATAACGTTTTTAGTAGCAAAACCAACATTGCAATGTCACTGGAAATACCTACTATTGACTCACCTAACGATATGTGGAATACGTTGAAAAATACGAAGTTTTTTCTACCTAAACTAAACTTATCTGTTGAACACAGATTATTAGACTATCAGATAACCGCACAAAAGGACCGGGAGAGCCTACCGAGCAACTTGAGTGTCCACGATATTGGCAACTACGCGATAAGCACTTTACTGGTGGGAGCAATAGCCGTCGCTATAGTAGTATGGCGAGTTAGAAGATATCTCTCCGCATGTAAAAAGAGCAACACTCCCATAACAAAAGAAACGTCTACGAAGCCTCGACAGAGAACGAGAAAGAGAGAAGAAAATATAGAACTTGAAGAGATGGCTGGCCACGCAGAAATAGATGATGGATATGGGAAGATCAATCCTCGGCCGCAGCCAGCAATTGCGACAAAATTCAAGCTTTGATATTATTAATAAGATTTTATTTTTTGCTTATTGTTTACACATTTAACACATAAGTAACTTGTAACGCAAGTTTGGTGATATACGTATATCCTTCCCTCGGGAGCATGTACTGTATCCCAATAATGCTCATACAGCTATTTTAGTTTCTTTTATATAATAGTACTTAATTAATTTATTCAGTAGTAATAACAGCTCCGTGACGCGTGCTAGTATCAGTATTTCATAACATAACGTACGACTCAGATTACTGAACATAGCCTAACTTTAATTCACTAATAAAAATTAACTCTGTCTTAAACTGGTTTGGTGTGAACTATTTACCTACAACCACAAATACCGGGGTACCATTAACGACGTGATAACCCCAACAGGAGTAAGAGAGAGAATATTTAAATATTAAAAATTGGAATATCATAATGCATGCATGATAATAATCTATGACATCAGGTAATATAAATATAAATATTTTTAAATTATAGATGACACAAATCCGTTTCATTTTAGTATAAAAATATAAGAAATACTACTTGAATAGACGCAAATAGCCAGTTGCGCCTTTTAAATCTCAAACGCTTTTTGGAGTAGGTACTGATAGTTTAAGTATTTGTGTGTAGATCTGTACTTCATGTTTTAAGTTTAAGTTTTTACTCTGAGGTCGTGAACTGGTTCAATGTTAATTAAGAAAGAAAGCTTTTGATATCGTTTTAGTGTAGTTACAAACCTTTTAATAAAACATAAAGAGCAGATTGAATATCATGAGCACGGAATGGGGAGATTAGCGGTTATTCCTAACAAAACTGAAGCCAAATATCGATAATTTGCTGTCAATCCATCAAGTACTTCCCTCCCATTAAAATTATGACTACTTTGTGATTGACATTGTAGTTACGATACGTTATTAATGTTTAATTTTAATTATATTACGACTGTTATCATTTTACAGTTTAATATAAAAAAAAGTGTAATAATTACATATTTAAATAAATACAACACAAAAAATTTACTATTTTTCTTTTTACCACTCCGAATTTTCTAAATGAAATAAGTGAGACTTGATTGGTTCCTTGTGCTGTGAGTGGATGTCAAAAAAGTAAAGTTGGATGGAATCACTTCTTTGATTGGCCAACTTTACTTTTTTGACATCCACTCACAGCACAATCAATTAATTAATTAACCAATTAATTCTTACTTCTTCTTCTTCTAAAACTATTGATTTGTGGTTAGAACTCAGCCGCAACGCAAATTTTCATAGTTAGATCTAATCTCACATTTTTTGTCGAGTTTTGGGAATATGGTAGAAATATAGCTGCAGGGGGTCCACCGGAACCAGATAAACTTTGAAAGTGGTCTATGAGACAAAATGTCTTTGAACCTCTGGTTTAAAACTTCTAATGATTACACTAAGCAATAAAATAGATTGAAAGTACCTAAGGGTATTAAGCCGTATATGACAAATGCGCCTATATCAAGACTAACTTTACGAAGTAGATCGCAAGTGGCAGATATAGACGTTTTTTTTTTCTTTTTAGGCGTGTTATTTCTTTTGTTTAAATATAAAGTTCTATTCCTAAGTACATAAATTTTATATTTAAACAACAGAAATAACATCGTATTAAGACGATTTAACCTAAATTTGCGATGTTTATATTAGAAAAGTTTCTACAATACCAGATAAAAGCCAGAACGCAATAACGCTACAACGGCCCACCTTCAAAGAGAAACACCTAACAATGAAATTGAAATACTTCCTTAACCTCCCTTACCTTCAATACTCCAAAAAACAATGCGTGGTTTGTAAGGGTAATTACAGACTTGCGTGATGTCTAAAACTGTTTAGTTTCACTACTAGAATAGATTAATTTCGTGTTCTTTCATATTTAACTAGGTACACTATTTGAATATTATTTAGATCCGAATATATCAAGACAATACTTGTTTGTTTTAATCCTATTCACCTATGACAAGAGGATAGATATTTTTAAACAACACATTTTTAAGTGAGATATATACTTACTCTGCTTCTGCCCTCGGCTCCGCCCGTATGTATGATGGTTACGTCAGTAAAAAGTAGCTCAGGTTACTCGCTGATAATGTAGCTTTCCATTGCTGAAATAATTTTTAATATCGGTATAGTGTTTTAGGCGTGAATGCGTACACCAAACATAAAAAAAAACTCCTTTATTCACGATTATAATATAAGTTTGGATGTATGGATGTATACGAGTATACTATAGCACGTTATAACTTTACACATATACATAACATACTATAATACTTACAGTGTGTGTATGTTACACTCATATATAGATAGTCAGTCACTGCCCTAACAGAATCAATCACTGTACTATTTGTGTGTTAAATGTTAGAAGCTCATAAGTAATGTATGTGAGGATTGTGAGGCCCGGGATTACTCAGACAGGAGTTTAGAGAATTAAATTCTAGTTGTGACTGTACATTTTAGTGGTGTTTAAAATTTATGACACTCGCCCGGAGTTTTGTCCCATTGGATATTGCGCAGTATTTCGTAATGCTCTGTTTTAGTATAACTTATATAATTTTTTGTTTGGAACTTTTTAAATACGTTAAGGTAACCTTCATTCTAAGAAACGAGTTAAAAATTAAAGTGATGACGCTCAAAGTAAGAATTAGCGCTGTGAATTTGTTACACAGCGGCATCTGAGTAATTAAAACTTAAGGTAAATCCTTTGGTTTTGAAGACCTCGAAAGGTAAATAAGGCTCAATTTTCATCTGTTCTACTGATTCAAATATAAACCGT